AAACAGTTTTTTTTTCCAACATTAATACCTTGATCAGTGCAGCAGATTTATTTTTTACTTACTCTAATTTTTTTACACTAAGAATGCATTATAAATCAGTGATGCTCAAGGGACCTTTATTCAAATGCAAAGAAATAGAATATACAATAATGGTTTCATATTCATACAAAAAAGGATTCCCAAATAAAACTGGTGCAATATTAAAGCCAAAACGTGTTGTTGACAGGAAAAATCTGAAAAAAATCTCAACTATTCTAAAACTAAACTACATATTATTCCAGGTATTCCCTCCATCCTCAATAATTTTCCCCAACAACTTGTATTTGTTTTTTAAAAACATTTACAATGAGTAAATACAATGCAGCAATGAAGGAAGTTAAGCTCACATTTTCATGACTCATTGCTGATTTTACAAGCAATTTTCTAACATTAAGAGCACTTTGAAGCTTCCATAAACACATCCTTTGCCAGGTTACCCTATTTTACACTATGTAACATACGATGGCTATACATATAAACAAGTTACAAGTTTGAACTAGTCTAAGACAGCTTATGCATCTATATTCCAGTCACAAAAATGTGTTAAAGCTAGTCCTGTGACAATGATATCTACTTATTACATACATCCTATTATTGTCTGAAGTACCATAGATACACCCTGGCTTATAAGACGCAGTCCTAACCTAAGGCTTGTCACCAGGGGATTCTTTTATATGGTCTCGCTTATAAGACGCAGTCCCTACTTTGAAGTTAAAATCAGGATGGCTAAAAATGTGACTTATTAACTGAGTTAACATGTTCGGACCTGCAGTACCGGTTAAATACGCTCCAAAGCTGCTGCAGCCCTTCCAGACAAAAACAGCTGTTCGTCAATAATGAACTGTCTGGATAATTTATGTGTCTATTATTACAAATATTTACAATAATTTACACTGACCTCCATGGTGAACTATATCTTGACCTGATTATCATATAAAATCATATCTAATCACTGATAGGCATAGATGTGTTATGTAGATTATTCTTTCCAAAGCTTTGCCAGGCTTTTTTTACAAAACGAGTGTAAAAAATATTGCAATGATTAATCCAAATATTCAATTTATAAATCTACTTAAAACTAGGCCATCCTAACACATTATTAATATAAACACAGAGTCCATTTATACACAAGAAAGACATAAACACCACTTACTTTATCATTTGTTGCACGCTTTTTGAAAACTTTTTTTATAATCACAGTAACAGAAACAATAATGTTAGGTGATGTGCCTTCGGGTAGATTATTTCCAATTATTTTCAATAAACTGTCATTTATTTTTGCTATCTATAATAACTATTCAAGAAAAAATACATTTCCAATTTATCAATACTAGTTTAAATACTATATCCATACCTATTTAATAAACTATATCTAAATATAACTTATTTACCCTACTTTTATATTCTTTTTCATTCACTGGGTCAAATCGTGTATACAACAAAGACTTTGTTAAGACCCAAAAAAAAACAAATATTTGTTTACAATCTCAATCTTTTTGAAATCATAACCATTTACAGTGAAATAGCTTGATATCCTGTAATATAACTTGATGTCTCAAACAAAGTGAAATAGCTAGTTATGTCATTACAGTGAAATACCTTGATATCACATCACAGTTAAATAATTTGATTTCTCATTACAGTGAAATAACCTAATATCACATTATTGTAAAATAGCTTGTTATCTCATCACAGTGAAATATCTTGATATCTCATTACATTAAATAGCTTGATATCTCAAACACATTGAAATAACTGGACATGTAATTACAGTGAATTAATTTGATATGTCATTACAGTGAAATAACTTGAAATCTCACTACAATGAAATAACTTGATATCACATGACTGTAAAATAGCTTGTTATCTCATCACAGTGAAATAACTTGGTATCTCATTACAGTTAAAAAGCTGGATATCTCAAACACATTGAAATAACTGGACATTTCATCACAGTGAATTAATTTGATATCTCATTACAGTGAAATAACTTGATATCTCATTACAGTAAAATAGATTGATATATCACCACAGTGAAATAACTGGACATTTCATTACAGTGAAATAAGTTAATATCTCATTACTGTAAAATAGCTTGTTATCTCATCACAGTGAAATAACTTGGTATCTCATTACAGTTAAAAAGCTGGATATCTCAAACACATTGAAATAACTGGACATGCAATTACAGTGAATTAATTTGATATCTCATTACAGTGAAATAACTTGATATTTCATCACAGTGAAATAACTTGATATTTCATCACAGTAAAAAAGATTGATATATCACCACAGTGAAATAACTGGACATTTCATTACAGTGACATAACTTGATATTTCAGACTAAAGGTTTATTGTAAATTCAGTAAACATTGTTCAACAACTTTCTAATATTTGAATAAAGGTTAAAAAGTACCACAATCATTTCTTACTTCACTTAAAGATTTTTTTCAAAAACTTCTATTATCAAAATCATATATCACAGTGTGCAGAAATTTTTAAATCTTCAAATCCTACACCTTATCACATTATCCTTTCCACCACTGTAATCTGATTAAAATCGAACATATCTGACAATCAGTTTCTGTATTAATGTAAGTGCAGGCAGTACAAGTCTGTCAATTAACAATTACAAGCCTAGATGAGCCAATTCCACCTCATCAAGGTACCAAGTGTATTTCACAAGAACAGTGTTTTAAACTTTTTGCATGCTGGCTGGTGGAAAAAGATCTTGCCCATTCAACCAGTGCAGACCAACACCAGCCATCAAACAGGGCTTTCCACTAAGTTCCAAACTTTTGAAGTCAGAGACTGGAAAATGTCTGACATTGGAAGTCATATATATAGGTAATTTAGGAAAAGCAGGAAAAGCATTTTATTTGGGAAGTTACAAGCCAAAATCAGGAGTGAATGATTCCCAAAATTCCCCTAATGGAAGCCCTGCATCAAATCCATGCCATCTGATCAGGGTCTGCACTGTCCGCTATTCAGTCTGTACTTATTTTAAAGAAATCATCCCTAAAAATGATGAATGGTTTTTGTCCAAATTGTTAAATGGACCAGGGTCTTTCTATTTGAAAGACCCTGGATGGAAAAGTTCATTATGATATTTGTGTGGTAACAGCTTAAATGTAGAACAAAAAGAGCAGTGGCCTAGTGGTTAAACTGTCTGCTGCTCAACCAACAAATTGTTTGTTTGAGCCTAACTATGGTCATGACAATGAAAATAAATAACTTGTAAAATATCTCAAAGGGATTACCTGAAATAATTTCTTTAATGTGAAAATATTTGTTCACAACATCATAACCCAGAAATACTTTCAAATACATGTACAAGGAAGTACCACTCAAGAATAGACATTCGATTAATACAAGTAATATTCCATACAAATTTACATGAGGACACTCCGATGAAACATTAACCCATGTAATTCCATACAAATTCATCTAAGGCACTGAACAAATTAACTTCTGACAATACCTATTACAATGGAAGTTCAGGTTACACAACCATTATAAAATCTGAATGGAAACTTCAAACAGTGTACAATATTCCATGTCTATTAATAAACAATGTTGAACCTTCAATGTGCAGCACAAGTCTAGGTAAACAACACAAAGAGTTTGCTAAATTAATATGAAATGGAAAACAAATAAAATGTTCAGTGAATGTCAAGAAACAATAAATAACTTAAGAAGGCGATATTGATCATAAAATAAAAGAATCTAGAGATATGAGGGGGAATATTGATCATACAGATAACCTATGAGGTGAACATTGATCAAAAAGATAACCTATGAGGGGGAATATTGAACATATAGATAACCTAAGAGGGGAAATTAATTTATATTCATCAAAACATTTTTTTATGGAACCAATGAGGTTATTATTGATTACAAAATTCAGTAACCTTTATGGTGACCATTGATCACAAAATGAAAGAACCAATTTGATGAATAATGATAAAAAAATAAAGGAACCAATGTGGTTCAATACTGATCACAAAATAAAGAACCTATGAGGTGAACATTGATCACAAAATAAAGGAACCAATGAGGGTAGAATTGATCATAAACAATAGGAACTTATGAGGTGAACATTGATCACAAAATAATGGAACCTATGAGGTGAACATTGATCACAAAATAAAGGAACCATTAAGGATAGAATTGATCATAAACAATAGGAACCCATGTTGTGAACATTGATCACAAAATAAAGGAACCAATGAGGGTAGAATTGATCATAAACAATAGGAACTTATGAGGTGAACATTGATCACAAAATAATAGAACCATTGAGGGTAGAATTGACCATAAACAATAGGAACCTATGAGGTGAACATTGATCACAAAATAATGGAACCATTGAGGGTAGAATTGATCATAAACAATAGGAACCTATGAGGTGAACATTGATCACAAAATAATGGAACCATTGAGGGTAGAATTGATCATAAACAATAGGAACCTATGAGGTGAACATTGATCACAAAATAATGGAACCATTGAGGGTAGAATTGATCATAAACAATAGGAACCTATGAGGTGAACATTGATCACAAAATAAAGTAACCATTGAGGGTAGAATTGATCACAAACAATAGGAACCTATGAGGTGAACATTGATCACAAAATAAAGTAACCATTGAGGGTAGAATTGATCATAAACAATAGGAACCTATGAGGTGAACATTGATCACAAAATAAAGGAACCAATGAGGGTAGAATTGATCATAAACAATAGTAACCCATAAGGGGAATATTGTTCACAAAATAAAGGAACCAATGAGGGAAGTACTGATCATACAAATATAGGAACCTTTGAGATGAACATTGATCACTAAATAATTTACCCACTACATAATTATGTAGACTGAAGTTACCCACTTCATATCATTATAGCTCATTGAGACATCATTCAAATTGGTGTCAACCATAATCAAGGGGAATTAACTCACCTCATTATGTTAGATATCCAGGATGATCAAGTATTAAATTGATGTACAGCTCAACTTTCAATACCTGAAAGTAAAAAAATCAAAAACATCATATTATTGAACCACTCAATCAAATTTATAATATATCTCAAATACACATGATATGACATCGACACAAAACCGGGTATTCAGCATATATTATATAAACTAAGGGCCATAAATCTGCTCAAAAAGTCATACAATAATTTAGAGTAGAGGGGCAAGTAATTCAGGGCAGAGTGCAGGTAGTTCTGAGTAGAAGGCAAGAAATTCAGAGGAGAGGGGCAAGTAATACAGAGGAGAGGGGCAAGTAATTCAGAGGAGAGGGGTAAGTAGTTCTGAGGAGAAGGGCAAGTAGTTCTAAGGAGAGGGGCAAGTAGTTCTGAGGAGAGGGGCAAGTAGTTCTGAGGAGAGGGGCAAGTAGTTCTGAGGAGAGGGGCAAGTAGTTCTGAGGAGAGGGGCAAGTAGTTCTGAGGAGAGGGGCAAGTAGTTCTGAGTAGAAGGCAAGTTATTAAAAGCAGAGGGGCAAGTAATTCAGACAGAAATTTCAAGTAAATAATTTCAGTGTTTACTACAGGATATGAAGATACATGCAATAACATAACCAAGTGTTACATTATAATTGATTCAAATGGCAATGCAAATGCACTAAAAAGTATAGTGATTGCCCAGCTATCCTTCAAATTGTCCAGCTAAAAATTTCTTAAAACACAAATGTCAAAAATATCACAAATGAGCTTGTGGTGCATCACTCTGACAAACTGGTATTTTCTGTATTAGCAGTTGGTATATATAATAATGATCATTATTTCAATAATGCTGGTACATGTATTTATACTTAATAGATCATTATTATCAACCCACGGTAACATATGTCTGGAACAGGAAATACAATATCAATACATGTCCAAATAAACATGCTATCATAACATTGACTAGAATGGTTAGCCTTTTTTTTTGTTCAATTAACCCAACGGAAGAATATCAGTCAATCAAGAGAAAATAAAGTATCCAGTCTAAAGTTCACCCTCACAAAAAGGGACAAGACGTTCCAGCTGTAATACCTCAGGTGCCCTTCCGTGCATTATATCAGGCACAAATGGGTACCGGAGTAAAACCAGTGACGTTCCTGGATAGCTACCTCACATGAAATAATTCAAAGTCTTGATTCAAACCAGTACAGCGGTGAGGGGCAGGTGGTTTGTAGACTGGTTATCCACTACATAATTTTGTAGACTATGATACCAATTATATAATTTTATAGACTTAAGTTACCTGCTACATATCATTGTAGTCTTGAGTTATCCATTTTACGATATGTGGACTAGTTAACCACTACATTATAATATTGACTATAAAGTTACCAACTTCACTATATCATTTTATAATGATCATTACCCAGACTGGTCAATTTCTTTTTGAAGATTTAGATGAAAACAGGAGCCAGTTTTTAGTGTTACTGTCAGATATATTAAAACCCTTCTGACATTTAAAGGAAACCTGATCAATTAATTATTGAGGAGATTTACCTGTGATAAAGTATTTTTCACAAGGATTTAATACATATCTATGTGTGTCTAGGGAGTTATCAAACCTTAGCATTACTTAAAACAATAAACATACTGGTCTGTATTCCTTTCTGTTCAAAACTGGTTCTTTTTTTTCTAATTTTGTAACACTCTGTGGATAAACTGAGTATGTGCCCTGTTTTCTAGGTTTACAATATAAAATAATCAATTCAAATAACTCCTTACAGTTATTGCCCTTTAATTATTATACAGTAAATAAACATATAACTTAAATATAAATTTCAGAAGTAATTTCACTTTGAAATTGTAAAAAAAAAAAAAAAATCTCCTTCTTTACCCAAAAAATGTTGTTTTACGTAACTCAGATGAAAAGCATATAATACAAGAAAATCATAATTTATTTACACACACATGACGTCATAAGTGACTAATTCGACTCCTCGGTCACATTTTCGGGAGTCCTCAATACATTTTTTCCCCCTTCTTTTCTTCCGTAAGAAACAGAACAGACAAAACCTATAGACCTAGTTTCTTCCAGTATATTCAGCCGTTTTCCCCTCCCATTCCAATAAATAACAAAACAAAATTTTAGCAGTCACGTAATAATCAATTGCACATTTATGCTCGAATGACGTCAAGCAACTGCCTTACTGCATCAATCACTTAAACTGCTGTTAAGAAATCGTTCTCAAGTTTTTATATTGTTACACTTTTATATAGCTTCGATTTTTTCTCCCAAATGCTTTTTCTAAAGCAATATATTAAGGCTAAAATTCCTAAGGAGGTATAGAAAAGAAGAAGAAAAAAACACACTCGAATAAAGCTTTGATTTATTAAAAATAAGGGTTTTCAACAAATTACGTAGTTTAAGCAGAGGAAACATGAACAAAGAATTAAAATTGCAATGTCTCTACTTCAGATGAGCTGATAAAAGGGGAATCCGGGCTTTTTTACTTTGGCTTTTTTTTATCAAGCAGTATATAAGCACAATAATACAAGAAAATATTTTACCCTTAAACCTGCTTGAACCAAATGTGATTACATTAGCCTTAACCTCAGTATGGAGCCCAGCCTGGAACCAAATGTGATTATATTAGCCATGGAGCCTGGACTGGGAACAAATAGGATTACATTAGCCCTATACCCAGTATGGAGCCCAACCTTGAACTAAATGTGATTTACACATTAGCCCTAATCCCAGTATGGAGCCTAGTCTGGAACCAAATGTGATAACATTAGCCTTAGTCCCAGTATGGAGCCCAACCTTGAACCAAATGTGATTTACACATTATTAGCCCTAGCCCCAGTATGGAGCCCAACCTTGAACTAAATGTGATTTACACATTAGCCCTAATCCCAGTATGGAGCCTAGTCTGGAACCAAATGTGATAACATTTAGCCTTAGTCCCAGTATGGAGCCCAACCTTGAACCAAATGTGATTTACACATTATTAGCCCTAGCCCCAGTATGGAGCCCAACCTTGAACTAAATGTGATTTACACATTAGCCCTAATCCCAGTATGGAGCCTAGTCTGGAACCAAATGTGATAACATTAGCCTTAGTCCCAGTATGGAGCCCAACCTTGAACCAAATGTGATTTACACATTATTAGCCCTAGCCCCAGTATGGAGCCCAACCTTGAACTAAATGTGATTTACACATTAGCCCTAATCCCAGTATGGAGCCTAGTCTGGAACCAAATGTGATAACATTAGCCTTAGTCCCAGTATGGAGCCCAACCTTGAACCAAATGTGATTTAAACATTAGCCCTAATCCCAGTATGGAGCCAAAACCTGGAACCAAATGTGATTACATTAGCCCTTAGCCCCAGTATGGAGCCTGGTCTGGAACCAAATGTGATTACATTAGCCCTAGCCCCAGTATAGAGCCCAGCCTAGAACCAAATATAATCAAGATAAAGTGATTTCTTTTACAACCCATGTCCTTCAATATAGAAATACTGTATTTCAAAATTTCTTTTACATATTTGATATGAATATATTCTTGCTTTAAAGTCAAACTATGTAAATTATAATATTTGACATCTTCAGAACTGGGGATCAGACAAAAATGTGGCAAGTATTTAAATTCTACTTTATACATCTTTATATACATACTGCATTGGGATTTTATTAGATCTATATTATACAAATACAACTATAAAATCATATACCCATATTATTTCCTCATACAAACCACCTCCTTTGATATCACAAACTTTTTATTGCTGAAACAGGATACAAAATTCTTCCAACAAATTTAAAGGTAAATCAAATATTGTCATATTGTTACTTCTCTTATGATTTTAAACTCATTTCCCTGCTAAATATCTAAAAAGTAATTGTCCAACTTTCAATCTGGATTAAACCATTAATTCTATCACTTTTCTTGAAAAAAAAAATCAAAATATCTACTGATATTATAGCAACCACCTGAAATTATCCCTCTCCCAGTACCTTCCTCCCTCTGTAAAATATCTCTCTCCCTCTGTAAACTATCCATCTCCCTCTGTAAACTATCCCTCTCACTCTCAGTAAACTATCCCTCTCTTTCTCAGTAAACTATCTCTCTCCCTCAGTAAACTATCACTCTCCCTCAGTAAACTATTTCTCTCTGTAAACTATCTATCTCCCTCTGTAAATTATCCTCTCCCTATGTAGTTACTATCTCTCTCCCTCAATTAGCTATCCTTCTCCCTCTGTAAACTATCTCTCTCCCTCTGTAAACTATCACTCTCCCTCAGTAAACTATTTCTCTCTGTAAACTATCTATCTCCCTCTGTAAACTATCCTCTCCCTAGGTAGTTACTATCTCTCTCCCTCTGTAAACTATCCTTCTCCCTCTGTAAACTACAGTTGACTCTCAATAAGTCAAAATCGCTTTACTCAAAATTCCGCCTTAGTCGAATAATTTCTAAAGTCCCGTCAATTTTCCTTCTTTATCTTTGTATTTTAACTCCGCTTAGGTCAAATTTTGACTTACCGAAACTCCTGTTTAGTCGAAAAGAAAATTTGGTCCCGTCAATTAAAGTCCAACATATTTTCATCTCAATTAGTCGAAGAGTGAAAACAGCCGACTGATCAAAGGTCGGCGACATCAAGGTGAGATGTTGTCACTCGTGATTTATACGTTTCATAGTAATTTTTAATTGCCGGTCATCATGTATTGTTAACACGTAAAAGTGGCTTTAATCCGTTTCAGGACTTAATTGGTTTTAACAGTTAGATAACTAAATTAAAATTTAATTACATTTCTTAAAGAAAGTTGACTCGTGCCAGTCTGACGGGTGTCAGTCAAATAACAGCCTAGGTATTGATATGTGTTATCAACGTAAATTAATTTGTATAATTAATGTTCCGTCATATTGCATACATTAATTTGTACTTTCGGTTCACGATAGTTGCTAATTTCGTTTTCGTCCGATGATCAATTAAATCAAATATAGTTGTGTGTTTATGTTTCACTATTAATATACATGTATTAAATTTTGAATGATATATTTTTGTTCATTTAT